TTTCTACAAATTACCACTGTTTTATCTTTTTCGAAAAAAGCCTGATGTTCGAGTAAAACTTAAAAAACTAACTGAAAACTCTTTTACTTAAAATAAATTAATAACATTAGTCATCATTTCAATGGTTTTATTTGAGTAAATGCTCAAAAATACCTCTATTTCCACGAAAACAGGCGCGACATCTTCTTAGTGCCTAACGAAAATATAAATTGTTAAAAATTTATTGTTACTTGAATTTGATGAAAAGTATTAGTTATTCCTTCTTCTAACTGTTCAGGTGTATTAATTTGTTCACTGTATACCAGCCGTTTATAGTCTTTCCGAAGTTAGTTGAACAAGTAAAGAAACGCCTGGCAATACAATTTAATGACTTTCATAGGCGTCCCTAAAAGTTTTCTGCTAAAGGTAAAAAATTATAATAATTTGTATATGATGTGCAGAAAATGTCTATTATATGTTCATTTAGCCAACAACATATTTTAATTATTTATGTCCTCAAACAATTTTATTATATTGACGGTATATTTCGTTTTGTTCCGTTTCAAAAGGTCTTCAAAATGTCATGTTGTAATAATATTAGTAAACAAAATAATCCTCTTATTTCTCCCTTTTGCAATTGTAATATGAATGATTAATAGAAGGTGCCTATAATAAATTAAAATTAACTGAATCACACCAAATTCCGCATTGCTGCACTGCACTGCTGGGCAATTTGTCAACCACTTGTCAACAACTGAGATTTATTTCCCAGTGGCCCAATGCAGCTGTGTTTGGATTTCGTTTGCCCGCGCTAGCATTCTTTAACTGGGCGTATACATTTCTACCACCTCCACGTTTAGTTCGACCAGACCAGGATGTGGGATGTGGGTATGGGTAAATAAATATGGGAACAAGTTTTCAAATATTTCAATGTCGAGTTGCTCCATCAGCAACCGAACCTCGACCTCTTGGTTTTTCAATTGTTATCGGAAAGACTATAACAGCACCCCATAAAAAGACATCCAATGGGTTAAGGTATATAGATAAAACAGTAGTAATTTGTAGAAAAGTTTTATTTAGAAAAATATCCCACCCTGTATCTCCACCACTGAAGCATCTGAATTTTAGAAAAAGCCCTGAGATCTTGGATAATGTTTACATAAATACATGTACCGATACCCATTACCCAATTTCAAATTATTTCACTTATTAGTTTTAAAATTATTAAAAAAAAATAAAAAACATTTTTTTTTAAGTTTAACACACTGTATCTAAATGTTTATTACAGATAACTTGAACACCCTCTCTCGTTAATTAGACGTTTATGGAGTACTGTCTATTTTTTCTGGATTCCTGAATCATAGGATTAATTTTCTGAATATAACAATAGCGATGAAGGAGGCATACAATTTGTAAACCTATTTTGTTTTAATTTTGATCATTACATATGCCCGGCGATATTTAACAACAAAAAATAAATATCCTATAAATTTTTTTAACGAATAGTTTTAAAATTATTTTTTTTTCTTTGCACGTATCCAGTTTTGAAAGTATTCACAGACGTCGAAGTTTTGGCTAGGTTTTTAATAACAGTATAATGTGGTATCTCCGCCACTTGACATACCTAATTGTGTACTAATGAATGTTTGCCATTAATTAGTTAAATCTCATCCAAGTTTCATTAATCTACGTCAAAAATGTTTAGAAATATCCGAATAAATGTGATATTTATTAAACTTGACAGACTTTAAACCCTTGGTTCATTAAGATTTTTTGGTCTAAAATAATTCAAAAATCAATCTCCTGAAGTTATGTAATGGACTTAAGAAACAACTTACCGTATATTTATAGAGAGTTTTCCATCACAAATATATTTATATGAGCTTGATGAGCTTCAACTTTTCTAATGCATACTTACCTAATAAACTATGCTTTGAAATTCTCGATATGCATGCTTTTCTCTCCAGACTCTTGTGTATTTATATTTTCGTTTTTTTTTCTCAGCCTTGACAAGGAAGAGATATCTCCGATATATACGTGCCTACATACCTACATTGTCAAAAACTATATGATTTTATTTTAAGAAAATTATAAAAGCATAGATGTAATAGTACCTATACATATAGACATATACCATATACTATATTAGGTCTATATATGTCATATTTGATTGTGACATAAAATGCAGAATTATCTTGTTAGCATATCGTGAATTTGAATCAAAGCGTCACTAGCGTCCTCTTTAATTATTAGTACGTATGACAGAGTTATTAATGACTTTAATATTGGTAATTATTATTAATTAAATAAATAATTGGCATATCATCAATTAAAAAAAACAAATTGTTAACATTTGTAAATACATAATCGTAACTGAGCAGATATTTTATTGAGCGCCCGAAAAGTTAAAAATAAAAGAAAATTTAATTTAAAAGTTTATTTACTTGAAAACTGTCAGAAGTAACCCCACATAATATGGTACTGCTGGAAAGTTAAATTTGTCTGCTTTTCGTATTAGCTAGTAAAAATAGGCCATTCCCTTTAAAACTTTTCAGTAATTTTCGAATTTGCAAACCTCGATCACTCTGTTATAAGTAAAGAATAATGACAGCACTTCTGTGGTTTCTAAGAAACTGCAAGACTTTCAATGCTTGTTTATGTCTCGAAACTACATTATACTGAGTGTTTACAAATGGCTGCATCGGAGTCTGTTTTCGGATTTATGAGTCCCATAACCCTATACCTATTATTTTGCTGCATTTTGATAGGACTATCCAAATATGCAAAAATATACAGGGTGTTCTATTAAAAAAAAAATTATCAACACTCTGTATATGATTAGTACAAAAAAATGAAAATTATTTTAAAATGTGCTCCCTATATAGATGTGCGCCTCTGGATTAAATTTCATATTGATATCTCTTCGCCTGAAGCCTTTAGGAGCTATGCTATCCGCCATCCACACACTAATGGGGGACCCTGTAGTTAGACAACCAATCTAACTTGGATAGGAAACTACTATACTTTGCGGTCGAAATTATAGAGGGTGACTCATCGCTAGTAAGGAGGATTCATAGGCGTATCTGTCTAGAAAGCAACAAGATATAGAAAATATGAAAAAAAGATAATAAAACATAACATCTATTATTTTTATGAGCAACAGGCGGTTTACTATAACCGGTACTTTGATCCATTTTAATTATTAATATGTTTTAAAATATCATGGTTGTATTTTTTTAATTTATGAATTTATTATAGCCATGGAATTTGACCCCTCGCGTACGCTTATGCTGTGGCATTTCTAACGACGCACAGTGGGGCGAAACGCCACTGTCGCATTCAAATTACTCTACACCCCACATAGTTCAACTGTTTCGGATGAATTTTTTTTCAAAATGTTCGTCTTGAATGTCCCTATCGATCCCTCTTTTGGGATTTTTGATTTCGGTCTTCATTGTTTTGAACATTGACTCCAAAATTCGATTTTTATGAAAAAAAACTGATTTTCGGCGCAAATGTGGTCCTACATGGCGCAAGTTGATGTTTTTCGAAATTTTTTTCAGCCGAAAATCTTCGATTTGATAAATACTACAAAACTGTCTGCGTGAAAGTCGGGAGAAAAATTTTTCATATTCGCAAAAACGGTCATAATCCAAGAATTTTCGTGGAAAAGCGATTTTTTAATTCGAAATTTCGCAACCTGGGGAAAAATTAGATGAACCAAAAGTTGTTTAGAATCACTCGAGGAATACTCAAAAAAATTTTCCAGATTTTTTGAACACATTTTGGGACATTTCAGAAAATATCCAAATCCAAAAATTTTAAAATATATCCAAAAATTCTGGAAAATTTTTTTGAGTATTCCTCGAGTGATTCTAAACAACTTTTGGTTCATCTAATTTTTCTCCAGGTTGCGAAATTTCGAATTAAAAAATCGCTTCTCCATGAAAATTTTTGGAACATTATGACCGTTTTTGCAAATATGAAAAATTTTTCTCCCGACTTTCAGACTGTTTTGTAGTATTTATCAAAACAAAGATTTTCAGCTGAAAAAAATTTCGAAAAACATCAACTTGCGCCATGTAGGACCACATTTGCGCAGAAAATCAGTTTTTTTCATAAAAATCGAATTTTGGAGTCAATTTTCAAAAAAATGAAGACCGAAATCAAAAATCCCAAAAGAGGGATCGATAGGGACATTCAAGACGAACATTTTGAAAAAAAAATTCACCAGAAACAGTTGAACTATGTGGGGTGTAGAGTAATTTGAATGCGACAGTGGCGTTTCGTCCCACTGTGCGACGGCTAAATCAAGTACTACGTACGTCCGTTTACACCCACTAAATAAGCATTTCCCTATTCCCTAGTCGTGCAATAAACAGAGATAGATGATATATCGACAATCAGTGTAACTCAGTCTATAGACGATTATAGGTCATATCGAAGTGTATAGAGAACGGCACATCATTTAATACAAAACAAATAATACTGAATCATAATAAAAATCATTTTATATTTTATACGCTTTATTATGTCTGAGTCACTGTCTATAATTTCGGCCGCGAAGTATAGATGACACTCTCAGAAAATCCCTCTCATAAGCTTTGACTCATAAGGCTGTCATTCTTAATTAAACTGGCAACAAGAGTGACAGAGGTTTTATAAGAGAGTCGCCATCTAGTAGTCTTCTAACTAAGTTTGGCTTGTAATATTTCAGTAAACGCTATTTGTGACTGCATGCGTTGATTGAAATATAATATTTCAGTTGTGATATTAATCATAAATAAGAGATGTCGCCCCAAAATTTCTCCTTATTTACATTTCACTTTAAAATAACAATTCTCGATATCAGATGTATCAAATTAGTTTTAAAATACCAAAATTTATTATGAGCTAGAAGAATCAGACCGTCTTTATTACATTACATTTATTTTATTTATGTAATTATTGGCAGCAGTGTTCAGCTGTTAGTATTTTTTAGATGTAGTTGGTAGATAGTAATTAGGGCGCGCGAAAACGTCAAAAACATTATTTATATTTTAGAAACTTGAGGAAATTATATAATTTTTCCGTAGTAACAATTTAAAAATAAATATATGTTTTTAAGTATAAAAGTGAAGTATTTGTTAGCAAGATATGGATGAAAATGAAACAGTATCTGTTTCAAAGGTGAATAACTAGCTTTATAACCTAAAAATTTAATAAGAAAAACATTTAATATATTATTCTTATTAATTTATCACTTATTGACGGTTTTTTATATTATAAATTTGTTTTCAGGGAGTCTTTGTCTTTAGAAACAATTTTAAACCACTTACGAAGAATTTAAAAAGCAAAAAGAAAATATCTGAAAGTAGTCATTTTGAAAGCGTTTTTTCAAAGAATTTATGGTACCAATCCTATATTTCCTTATGGAGTATATTAGAGGAGAATATTGAAGTATGTATTTTAATTTTATTTCTATATTGTACGAACATAACGTTTGGGTATTATGAATAACCAATAAACCTCTGTTCCTTTCAGACGTTAAGTACTAATATGTTCTCTTCAGTTTTAAGCGATTTATTAACATTCATTAAAAAGAGCCATGATACATTAATTGATGAAATACCAACAGCGGCTTTACTAACAGGAATTAACATGCCCGATCATGGAGCACAGTTTTTAACTTTATCTAAACAAATTCAGAAGACAATATCACCTCATGTTGCCTGTCTTTCTAGCCAAAATTGTCAGAGTATAAAATATTTGATGGAACATATGATAAATCAATTTATTAATAAAGGAGAATATTCTTCTGATGAAGTAAGTACTTCCTGCACATTTTCATTATTCATTTATATCGCATAATAAAATAGACAATTACCTATCGTCTTTCAGGGTGAACTACTGGTGGATGAAACTAAAGTTCAGTATAAGAAGACTCAGTTAACACTTCCAGTGTTAAAATGTTGGTATGAAGATTTATATAAAGAAAAACCGGTCACCTCACCCAAAAAAATAAGAATCAAGAACAAGAGAAAAGTTCTAGTCGTAATTATTCCTGATTTTGAAAGTTTTAATTCTCAAGTACTACAGAAATTTATATTAATAATCAGTTGGTACATAAAAGTGTTACCTTTTGTTTTCGTTCTGGGTATAGCCACATCTTTGACTACATTACATATGTCACTTCCTTATCAAGTTTCGTCAAAAATTAGTGTCCAAGTGTTCAACTCCCAACCATCGACAGTTTATCTTAATAACATTTTGGATGACTTATTTTTTACTTTGGATTGCCCGTTTCAACTGGGAGGAAAGGTTTTCAACCTTTTCACTGATATATTCCTCTTTTACGATTTATCTGTGAATAATTTTATTCAGAATATCAAGGTGAGTAAAAGATTTTTTTCTTAAATACAGGTATTGTTTAAGGACTGGCCAATCCCAGTACTTTTTTTATTTACAGATTTTAATGATTTTTTTTTTATTTGTGTCTTCTGAAGGCATATACCTAAAGCATTCCCAATCATTTTATAACTGCTACTAATTTATTGGTGTAAAATTGAGAGCAGTAGTATTATTATTGCAGATATTATTCTTTTAATGATAAAATTTCAATCGATTCACAATGGCCTGAATTATGAAGGTCTTCAAGTATTGGCAACATGTAAGAAACAAATACAGTTTTTAGCATAATTATAGTTTCTCTAAAATTCCCAAATGTTAATTTGACCATGATTAGTTAATCACAATAGTTTTGTAATGCTAATATGTTGAATTGACTGAATTTCAATTAAAAATTCAGTAGTTATTAACTCCTTTGTCATGCCAAATCTGTAGTATGGCGAGGTCATTCTTACTTTCAATCAGACACTTCAAAAGTTTGCAGAAAATATCCACAATTAGAAGTTACTTATCTAATTTGGTTAAAACAATTAAAATTGATCTACTTTTAAAAATTTTTAAATATACAACATTTATATCATATTTAGTACACATAAAGTAGTTGGGTATAAATTTTTCATGTACCATTGCATATTTGAAAAAACTGTGTGCTAATGCCGCTAACACATTGTTTTGATGTTTTAAATTTTAAATTTAAAAAAATATTGAAACCCAAATGTACACCTGAAGAGATATTTGACATTTGTGATAATTTCTAAAAAAAAATGTCAATATAATCTAAACAATTGTCCCAGCTTATCAAAAGTCCTGCAGGATGCTGATCCGGTTGGAGACTTATAGTAGTAGTAGTATGATTTAGTAGACGATAATTGGACGTCTATGATTTTTTTACAGAATGATCAAAACATTTTTTTTGCTTTTGAGAGAATGAACAGTTGTTAAACTATGTTTACATTTTTTTTCGTTAATATTAAACCACCGAACAAATCAGAACTCCAGAAAAACTATAGTTATGCAAAAAACATTAAAAATTTGTTTGTTCTTAAAGAATATTATATGGATATTTTTTAATTTTTCTTAGTTATTTGGAATACACTGTATATAGGTACTATATAAAAGTTAATATCAAATCACCTTGAATTTATTGCAATTTTTCCTGTAACAATATATAAGGCCCATTTTGCACGAAGATATCAAATGGGAAACCATGGCAGTACAACAATTAAGTAGTGCTGTCGATCAGAATGTATTTATTTAAAACACACTGTACACTATAGAGAGCCTTCATAAATGTTTACAAGCCACGTGACCGCCGAGCTTAAGCAACCCAACATTATAGACTGGTACTGTAACAAAAATTCCCTAAATCTTGGCATCACCAATATTAATGATTCGTTTACAATGAACAATGATAAACTGTTACGTCTGCGCTCAAAATAATGCGATCTCTAATTAACTGAATAGAATCTCGTGAAAAATTACACCAATCACACCTTATGAAACAGAATATTGTATTTTAATGTAATCTTGATTTTATTGTTTTAATTTTACCGAAATTTAATTGCCAACATGAAGGAAATAAAATTACTGTTCCTAACAAAATTATTGGTCACGTGGCTTGTAATCATTTTTGAAAACTGGCTTTTTGCCATTCTTTCAATAAATTAATAAGAAAAAATTAAAATTTGAACCTTTATTCACAATGAAAACAAAATTTATAAACATTTGAAATAAAAATGTTTACTATATTCAACAATTTAGAATTCGTTCAGTGAACATCAATTTATTTTCAGTATGCCATGGCTGAACATTTTTGTTATGGAAATGCTATGGCATTATGCAGTTTTGATAAAAAAAAAATCACACAAACTCTAACCAAATTCAGTCATGAAGATTTCGAAAATGTAAGGCGCCTCATATCATTTAGGAAGCTTGTAGAAAATGAATCTTATGAAAATCGAATCAAACTGTTAACTGATGATGAATATTTAAAGATAGTTTTAGAAGAAGAAATTAACAAAATTATAAAATATATCAGAAGGCTGCATATATTTTTAAAATGTCTATTAATAATGGTAGAAGATTTACCCAAAGCACCATTAGGAAAACAGGTAAGTAATTTATATTTTTAACTGCTAATAATATAATAATAAAAAGATCTTTTGAGAATTATTGTATAGTTTCGATTTTTGTGAAATATGTCTTCTGCCATGCCTCTTCTACCTTGAAGAAATAATCATCAAAATCTGTATCACTTAATTTTTGTTATGTTTTTAGAAAGAAATAATATGTACAAGACAAATACACATGCAAAATTTGTATTAAAAGTACATATTCTTGCCTGTGGCATTATCAAAATTTTTTATTTAATTTTTTATCAAAATCAAAATATACTTACAGAAAAAAATATATTTCTGGTCAAAAAAACAGCCTTTTGCAACAATATATCTTATAAATTGACTACATTGTTCAAAGTGAAATTGTGATTGCGTCCTACTCAAGTTTAAAAATTTAAAAAGCCTCATCTTGTAGATTTATTATCTCTTGAAGTTTGGAGATAAATTTTATTTCAAATAGTGATAATTTTTGTGTGAAAGCTATTTGAACTATTTCTACTAATATATTCAATTTACCGATAGCTACTTCGGAGGACTGGGGGCAGAGTGTCCTCAAAAATTTTTATAGAACTACTTTTCAAATTCTTATCATTTTTAATATATTCACACTTTTTAAAGTGTATTTGTATCAATAAAAAGAACCGTTTGCAAATGAATGAGTTCCATTTTTGTCATATTGTAGTAGTAATAACCTTAGTAATATTCATTGTGTCACTTCTCTTAAAAATTTGTAACAATCTTAAAAATGGTGATAAAAATTTAAAGAGTGAGTAGGTATTTTTTTGTAACTGAATAATTGAAATGGGGCTTTCACTAGAAAGATTTGAGCAAGTATAATACGTTTAATTATTGCTTTTCTAGGTTCGCGAATTGTACTCCGTCACGGTATCCAAAAATATTTCAAAAACTCCCGAGTACAAGGAATGCTTCCAGTTGTTAGGCTTCCAGTCCAAAGAAGAACTCTCTGTGAAACTCTCAAAAGTTATTGATTATTTGTCTCCCTTAATCAATAGTCATAGCAAACAAAATAAAATTAAGGATTTTGTGAATCAATTAAACACATTTTTAAATAATATGAATAATTTCAATATGAATGACATCGAAGAGGCTGTATTGGAAATTGAAAATGAAGACAATGTTATCACTGGTCAAATGGATAGAAAACAATTAAAAGAGGTAAATATTTAATATTTTTGTAGTACACAGAACTAAATATTCAATATTAATGATTTTTTTAACATTAATATGGCAGGCTCTTTTGAAAACATTTCATTGGCATTCAACTATAAATATTAGATTACTAATGGGATGTTGAATAAGTTCTCACTGGTTTTTCATGAATATTAATGTTTTATTTAAAAAAATTGTAAAAAACATGTCACTGAAAATATTCTCCATTGCTAGTTACTACTTTTTCCCATCTTTTTGCCAGGCATTATGCAGTTAAAACCACGTTAGAAAAACAACTTGTGTTTTGATACTATCCAAGAGTCAACACATTTTTTGGCATCTTCATAAGAATGAAGGTGCTGCTCAGGAAAATCATGTGCCATCGATCGGACAATGTCTGGTGAATGTGGCAGGGGGGGTAGGACTTCCCATTTAAGTGTTCCCAAATAGGTTTTCACCAGTACGGCAACATGTGGCCGAGCGTTGTTATGCTGCAATCACTTTGTCGTGTCTCTGCTTGTATAGCGGCCGTTTTTTCGTCAATGCTCGGCTTAAATGCATCAATAGTGATGCGGAGAAAAGGCTTGAAACCATGGATATTCTGCTTTAATCAATCGATGTTAAGACGTGGCCAGGCTTGCCCCACGATTTTCTCAACTTAGTATTATTTTTCATTGCCAGTTACTATACGATGCAAGAAACCTTTCCTTTTCTACCTTTGAAGCACCTTAATGCCTTCAAAAGTTTCAAAACTGTTGTGAGATCAACTCCTATCGATTCTACAAGTTCAGCCAGCATGTGACATGAGTCTTTATGAAGTAATGCCTCCAATTCTTCTTTTTCAAACTGTTTTGGTGCACCAGAGCTCTTTTTTTTATCTTCAACATTGAAAAACCATTTTTTTTAAACGTCTTAACCAATTTCTGTATGTAAGTCTCAACAAGAATTTTGTTCGGCACGAAATTCGACATGTTTAACACTACGAAAAAGGTAGTTTATGCTTCTGCGAAATAATTTACACTGAATTTCAAGCTTGCTTAGAGTACTTCTACATATATTGATGCATTACCATTTTTATAAGCATTCTTGCAGTTCTGGTGACGCCATCTATTGGAAAACAACGAGAACTTATTCAACGTTCATTATTATAACTAATTGTTAATTTTTCATTTCAGAAATTGTTAAGGATGTCTAAACAAACAGACAAACCTCTAAATAAGTATGAAAGAATAAGAAAGGACATAATTCAATGCATAAAAGATACTATGGATAAATACCTTATCGAACCAAATACATTTTATTTTCATGAAATATTTTTCTTTAATAACATCTCCATTCAGAACTATATCATAGGGGCACATCGCTCTGCAATACACAACGCCTTAAACGATCCTCACTATTACTTACAGGTAAAAATATTGTATTCTAATACACACGTGTCTTAATTCCCTGTTACATTTTAGTGCGCTTCATGTTGCGAAATACCAAACAATTCCGCCATAAAACTTACTATGCCGGACATCTGCATAGCTTACAAGCTACATTTGGAATGCGGGAAAATGATAAACCTGTACGATTGGTTGCAGGCGTTTCTTAGTATTCTTGATCCTGCGGATGTCGATAATGAGAGCAGAAGAGAAGTGAATCCCGAATTACAGTATCCTTCATATCATTTCTTAAATTGATATAATCTTTACATTCATCATTAATACTTAGTATTTTTCTTTTCCTTGACGTTTTTATTAGAGCTCGTTTCACGCAGGCAGTAGCTGAATTGGAATACTTGGGTTTCGTCAAGAGTTCAAAAAGAAAGGCTGACCACGTTACCAGATTGACGTGGGGTGGATAAATAGGAAAATAAGGCAAGGCTAATGTATTTTATATTTATTTTCTAAATTCTCTAGATTTCCAAAATATTGAATGATTCAATATTTTGCAGAAATTTAATAAATGTGTGTATTAAAGTAATTTTCAAAATACTTTACCTGATTTGATTATCCCATTATTCTTACCAACATGGACAAATTTTTCTTTATTTTAGAGCTATTAAAAAAAATATCGTTCTGTGATAATGTAATCCAAAAATCATTGAACGCTGCAATAATGATAATAAATTGCAATGGTTTTATTTTACAGTGATATTGTATAATGTGGCATTTACAGGGTTCGTAGTGGTCTGGAAAACCGGGAATACCGGGAAAAGTCAGGGAATTAATGATTCTTCATAAAAATAGGGAACAGTCATTAACATTATTGAAACTGACAGCTGCTATACAGCTCGTTGACAAATGAGGTTAAGTTGGTCGCTATAAGCTACTCCCTACGTCCAATGTGTCAGAGCCAACTTCGACCACGTTTTTATTTGAACGCTCGTTATATAAGTAAATAAATTTTTTCATTGAAAAAATGCAATAGCATAGGGTAAAATATACAGTATATTTAATGCATAAATAATAAACTTTGTTTATAACAAAATATGTGCAAATTAGGCAGTTGGCATTACGATATTTGAATTCCTTGGCTCGCAAGATGTCGGATTAAAAAAAAAGATCGAAATTGGTCCATTAGAAGCCGAGATAATGCAATTTTTTTCGTACCTTCACATTTTGAACCTCCGAATTCAGTCTTGGAGTGAAAGCCCATCTCCCCCACTTTTTGTGTTTTAAGTCACTTTTCGCGTGTGCAAGCGGCAGCTTCTCCGCTGATTTATCTATGTTGCCGATAACTTATGGATATGAAAATTTTTTCCAACTTAGAACTCAGAAAAACGAAGCCACTGGTTCAAAGATTATTGCTAAATTGTTTATAAATTAACGGTAACTGCCGATAAACTATGACCGCTTATATCTTGAGAATCAATGAACGGAATTTAACCTAAATTGCAAATTGATAAATGTTTAAAAATAAAAAAAAGTGTTAACTTTAAAAATTTACTGTGGTCGACCTAATCAACCGATTTCAGTTTTTCAAAAACCGTTTCAAAGGTTGAACATGTTAAATAGATTTTCAAGTATCTAGATGCCTTATTTGAGGCGAGGCTATGCAAAATTTTGAAAATTTGAAAAATATTTTTCAAAAAATTATTTTGCGAAAACTATCGAACCGATTTTAATGAAATTTGGTGTGTTGTTTTATTATACCATAAAGTCTTTTTTACCAAAATTAAAATGCCCTTAGAGCAATTTAAAAAATTTTAAATAATTATCAAGAAAACTTTATTTTTTTGCCTTTTTTCATCAATTATTGCTATTTTGCAACATCGGTAATAAATTTAAACATTTTTAACCTTCGTATATTGTGCAAAACTCAATTCTAAAACTTTTTTCCTTTTCATTATTCTTCCAAAATGCATAGGTTCCAGGATATAAGTACATAACTCAGATAAAATAGGTATTTTTTTTAAATTTTGTAAACATTTTTGCAATTTTGAAAATGTACACTTTTATTATGTGAGTTGTACTGAAGGTAATTCAGAAAAAAGTTGCTTGTCCCCTCTCACATCCAACTCAAAACAAATCCACCCTGATCTATTAGATTCAACTCAAACTCTGCTCACAGCCGGGTGAATTCTTTTATTTACCAAAAACAAATCAATTCATTAAGGAAAAGCAGTGCTCTTTGGCAGAAAATAAAGAAAAAATTGTTGGGAACTAGAATATAGTCCGAATCAGTAATTTTCACCTAAATTGAGTATCATGGAAACAGCATGGTATCGAGGCGGTGCTTATACAACCATCCACTTGACACACTCTGATAGGTCTAAGACCACATTCACCTCTCTTAAATCCCTATGTTTTTTTTTTTATTAGGGGTGTCTTAAAACAGGAAATGTACTTTGTGAGTATTGACAGTGAGGCACAACTGTGAAAACGATTAAAATGCTGTCCACAATTTGCAGAATAAAGAAATACTGAGAAGAGTGCACTTTAATTTTACAGAAAACGATGATCATATTGCACAGTACGCATGAGAGAACAATTTTGTACAATTTATCTCGTTTCTGTTATAAAATAAATTACTTTTTTTAACGATGTAATGATTTCAAGTTCGAATCGAAAATGCATTGATTGATTGTAATGATCTAATAAAAAAAATTGATTAATCCAAAACTGAAACAAATACAAACATTTTTTGAAAAAGCCTTCATCTTTAAAACAGAAAAATAGCTATAGCATGACCCTCCACAATTCGTGTCCTGTCTATGATGTGTTTTCCAATGGGATTGGACAGTGGATGGATAAGAATGGAAATTAACTTAGTTCACACAGCTGGCAACTGCTTTCTGAACTTCGGAGTCTTCCGATCTGATTGATTGGTCCTGTAGGGCCGAAGTTGGTCCTGACTAGGTGACTACGTAGCTAAATGACTACTTCTTCGAGTAGTGTCTAAGAATTGCCTTTTCATCTGTCATGTAGTCAATTTTATTAATATTCTTATTGTCCTATTTCATAGATTCTTGGTGGGGGGCTATTTATGCGTGTTTCGCTATTTACTAGAATAAAGAGGGGGCCGCAAATCTTGGAATCATTTTTACAACAAATAAAATAAATTCAACTCGGTTTAAATAAACATCAAAATATAACTGTTAATGTTAAATAATACCAGAAATTAAAAAACTAAACAGAAAACAACTAATACTTGTTTGCAGTAAAGCCAAAAAATTTTCCTTACAAGGACAATAATTTCTGCAAGAATAATTTACATATATTCTAGCACATGTAATATTTAATAATTAAAAAAAGTCAACAGGTGTTAAGTAACGTTACATTATAAAATTTCGTATGAAAAAATGCTAACATATTTAAGAAAAAAAACTGATCTAAAAAATAATAGCAAGAAAGCAGGATATTTTGAGGACGTTATAGTTTCAAATAATTTTCAATAAAATATTTGAACTTTTATTTTTTTCTTATTAAATTGATGACATGTTATACAGGGTGATTTCACTTTAAATACAGACACTGCAGGAATAGATTAGTTGCCAAAAAATAAGAAGAGCTTGCTCTATAAACTTTTTTCCTAGGGGATGTGGTATTCGAGATACAGGGAATTATATTTTCAGTCATATCTTCATATTACGCAGAACGATTTGAATGAAATTTATTACAGCACATTCACGTAATTAGACCTTTTATTGAATGTAATATTAACCTTGTAGTATTAATCAGTGGCGTGCTACTGAAGGTGCTGCCCCATTTCCCGAATGTAACATTATTTCTACGAAAAACCTCCAGTGGCGTATTTTTTTCTAAGGAAAATGGGGTGGCACATCCAGTAACACGGCACTGGTTAAACCCACAAGGTTAATATTACATTCAATAAAAGGTCTAATTAAGTGAATACGCTTTAGTAAATTTCATTTAATTCTGTCGGCACATTATAAAGATGTAGCATAAAATATATATATTTTTTTGTAAACTTTAACACCCTGTATCTCTAATACCGAGTCCCACAGAAAAAAAGTTTATGAAGCAAACTCTACTTATTTTTTGGTAATGAATCTAGTCCTGCAGATTCTGTATTTAAAGTGAAATAACCCTGCATAATAAACACGTTAATGAAATAAATAAACCAGTTAATGAAAATGAAATTTTATTCTCATTTTTACACTTAAATCAGCAGGAATATTATAATATATTTTATTCTCTTTATAGTACAACATTAATTAAATGACTTTAATAACAACACAGTTACCCTATAAACTTTACTATATTATTAAATATCTTATTGCACGTGTCATTATCTCCTTTCTTTAAAAGCAGTGGATACTATATCGGCAATCATTTAGTGTTCCATATATCTTCATATATGTATTACTTTTTTACTATATTCAGTCATTTGGAAACTCATTCCACAATGTCGCATTGAATAAATTAATTTGGGGTCACCCCTTAGCTACTCACAGTAGATTTCTAATTTTCATGATTTTGTACCAAGTCTTAAGCACTCCTGATTGTAATTCTACAGATGCTATAAAAAGCTTCCAGTGCATATGCAGCCACGGCAGCAAAGGCAAAATACTGGAAAAAAAATTGGTTCATTATTTTTTACATTTTCATACTTAATAGAAGGGAATGTCTCAGAAGTAAATGTGTTTTCAGCAAAGAGTGATGAGAGAAGTAAAAATTAACAGAATTATTTTCTTTAAACAACCTAATGTTTAAATTCCCAAAGAAAGGAATGCCAGATAATGAATGTTGTCACATTGACAATATTGACGATGATAATGTGAGCTACTAAATAAATCTGCCCTTGAAATTATATACAGTGTGTCCGAAAACTAAGCATATGCTAGGGATGATTTCATATCGATTCGACATAAATTGTTTTACCCAAAAATGCTGCCAGTTAGAAAAAGCTGTTAACAGTAAAAGCAGTGCTGTACATAATAATTATGTAAATTGTCAAATCCTTAAGACAAGTGTAAACTTGCTATAATTGATTTTTTCATATCATAATTTTATTGATATTCTACTAACAATAAGCTCAAGCCTTTAAGGGAGAAAAATATTTTGTTTAGCTCTGAAGGGAGATTTGAAAAGAAAACAAAATTGGGTAAAAAAGTGGCATACATATTTTTTCCAAAATAAATGTAAGCACTTAACCCCCACAGAGACGTCACTGATGATACAATCAAGTTGTAGTTTCAAAAAAAAAACATGCCTCCGGGTGAGGTGTAATGAGTTATTTGTATAATAGTAAAAAAAGAAAAGGTTTTTAAATTTTCTGGATATGATTTTTTTCTTCTGAAATTACTTTACAATAAATAATTATAATTCTTACCCCGGCAGTGTTGAAATATCCATTAATTAATCCTATGGTTACAAAGCCAGCAATAAGGTAAAACAATATCCACAATAGACAGTAGCCAAGTTCAATTTTAAACCATGGGATCTTACTCATTGTCGCTTCAATGATACGCACGAAGTGTAGCAGTAGTAATATACTGGTAATACATAACGCTGCGCCCGAGACAAAACAGTAATATACGGCTCGAGACAATTCGGTGTATCCTTCACTTGCTTGTATAAATATAAAACCCATTAAACTAATAATCTGAAAAATAAAATATTATTGTTAAAAACTAAATATTTATTTTTCGAATCCTCTTATAAATCATTTCATTTTATAAAATATTAATCTGAAATAAAGGGTTTTCCTTTAAGAGCGCTTGAACTTGAAATTAAAATAAAACAAGTTTTATAATGAGATATCATTGTTTTTTTTTATTATTTGAAAAGGTATTTGATTATATTCTGTATGGAACATAATATCGGCCAAGTGGCCGCCGCGGCTTTGGTGGATGGCACATATCCAAAATTTCCAATTTTCAATGACCATCTACTCGATCATATAAATCGGACTCGATTCATGGCATTGGTTATGTTGGCTTTTAAGGTGTCAATCGTCTGCGGCTTATTCACACAGATTCAGAGATCCGTGATTTAAAGTAGCCCCATAAAAAAAGTCTAACGGCGTTAAATTATATACAATCTCAGTGGCCAATGGCCAGTCGACGTCGCCGAAACGCGAGAAAACCATGCCGTCGAATTTGTCGTGCAGATCCGTGCAGATCCGCAGATTTTTCGTGTCCTGCATGGCACGTAGCGCCGCGCGCCGTTTTGTTGGAACCACCATATGACTAAATGTAACTAATTTAGTTACTCATATGGGAACCACATCGTTGAGATTCATTTATGCCACAAAAAATTAGTTATCGTCGACCTGTACCTCTCCTCGGTGACAGTTATGATGGCGCTAGCTTCATTTTGGAAGAATGACCCCGCCGAACCAAAATCTACACCAAACAGTGGCTTTTTCTTGACGAATTTTCAACTATGGATCTCATGTGGATTGTTATCTCTCCAAATGGGTCGATTTTGCCTGTTGAAATAGCTATTCATCCAAATATGGACCGACTCGATTGACTACCTCGGGTTATCCTGATATCCTGCAAGCTCTCGTGTACTGCAGAAATGTTTTTTGCAGACCTCACGTTTCTACAACTTACGGGGGTTATTATTTGCTGAACACGTTAATTTAAATTGGTCCACCAAATGACGAATAGTCGACTGAACCGGACAATTGTGTGCACCGCAAAAATCATGTAGTTTAATGATTTGCACGCGTTGTTCAACTGTGTAACTTTCCATAATGATTTTCCTACTAACATTAATTACTATAACCTCCAAATTTGACAGCTGCAGCTTCACCAACATGGCCGCAATACCCTGTCAAAGCGAGCACCCTATTGGAAATCCCTGTATGTATATGTGAGTGAAAATTTTCCGAAATACAATTTACGATTTCTGAAATTTAATCGACATTTTCTAATGTCTATCATGATTTCTAAAATGAAATTTACTAAAATAATACTGAAATTATGCTTTCTGAAAAAGAAAAATTATGTTAAAATAGAAAAATTTCACGAATACACTTGGTATCTAATAGCTAATGGACCGTACTCCAGAGTAGCTTTTTAAGATGAAAATAAATCGATTTAGGATTTAGATCAGGTTACTTTACTTCGTGAAATAGCTACTTTAAAAAACGTATTTTTATTTTAAGATAACTGCTTTCTTTTTTCTTTGTCGATCTTTTTATTTTCCCTGCCGTGTCGCGCTACAGATATATATCGATATATTTTCATCCAAAACAGTTAAGTATAGCTCATTCGCTTCTGGACACCTTGTATATCAGTAAATTAAAAAAATGTACACAGAAATCTCTTTTGAAAACTCATAACTCTAATTATAATACAATAGTGTATTTAACAAATTGAAATTTTAAAATAAAATATTTTAATATACATTTAAATAAATCAAATGTTACTATACTACTACTACACTATACCAAATGAAAGTGCTTTAATTTTTTTATGTGTTGAATTAAACACAAAAAAATATATATAAAAATTGAAAAATTTATTACTAAAAATCCGTAGGTAACTAGATAATATACGTACTATCTGTAATACTTTAAGTATTCCTCCTATACTGAAGGCATAAGATGCGTCAAATCTTATGCTAGATGTTGTGGATGGTGGAACTGGTGGAGTTGATGTAGTTGTATTTCCAGATTCCATTCTGAGATCCTAAAATAATATATTTTTTTTATATCATGCTGTTGAAAATTAGTATTATTCAGTGGCGGCTGATAAGGAAAGGGCTCTGGGGCGCCGCCCCCTAGATAGTTTCATAGTAAAAAAAATTAAATTTTAGTTACATAATTAAATAATTGATTAGCCTTATGGAACACATTAAACAGGAAATATTAAATTTGTAATATGCAGTCAGTTTAACTCGATTTGCAAAATTCGTTTGCAAAATTCTGAATAAGGTGCAGATAGCGTCATGTCGAGCGGTACGGGCGTGTCTGTCAATGGCTTAAGCTGTAAACGCCGTAAAGCTAAGTTAATTACGGGTGTTAAATGTGTAAAGTGTGACAATGTATTTCATACCAGTTGTGTTAAATACTATAACCAAAACGTAAAAATTTTGGATGACAAAAACACAGTAATTTGTTGTAACAAAGAAGCCACAGGGGGAATTGATGCTGAATTTTTTGACGCTATGGAAGAAATCAATAAATTAGATAAGACAACTGAAAAGGTCGTATATTTTTATATTATTAGACAGAAGGACACTTTAATTAACGAATTAAAAGAAAAAATTGATTTATTAAACAAACATATTGAATTACTGTCGAAAATGGTTCCAACGATCGTTCCTAAAACACCTCTGCAAAAAAGTAATTCTGATAAAGAAAAAGAAAAAAGTGATAACGTGAACGATCGATATATTTTACCTAAACAAAATACGAAGGTAAATAAAAAGACACTCTCGACTGAGATTTTAAAAGTTCAAACTGAACAAAAGTGCAATGAAATAATTAATTTAGCCATGACAGATCCTTCTGCTATACAGGATGATGTTACCCCGAACGTGACAGATTCTACTATAACTAGCACTCAGAAGAATACGAGGGACGAAGGAAATCGTCAAGAGAGACAAAGGATTGTTGGTTGTAATACAACGTCCGCTATAAAAGGGGTGCCGAAAGTCGTCCACCTTCATGTAACTAGGGTGGATCACAAAACGTCGGCGGACGATCTCAAATTGATGCTGAATGAATTTTTCCCTGAAGCACATTGCGTTTCTATCGCTCCGATGCAACCAAACGTATACTCCTCGTTTAAAGTATCTATTAATCAAGTAAACTTTAGAAGAGCAATGAATCCTAACATATGGCCCGTGGGTGCTTGTGTTAGCAAGTTTTTCCAGAAACGCCCTTCGAACCAGGGTGCAACGTAATGTTTGATCCTGACTTTTTAATAGTGAATGTTCGAAGTTTAAATGCTGAATCGGTTAATCACTTAGAGTGTGAATTTGTAAATAGTAATATTAACTATATTTGTGTAGCGGAAACTCATGATTCCGATGTCTCTATTATTACTAAGAATATTAGTGGCTTTATGCTAAGTAGTTACTATTGCCGAAAAAAATTTAAATGTGGTGGTGTTGCAATTTTTACGCGTAATGGTATCAATTGCTCAAATATTGTTCTGAATCGGTTTTGTATTGACAAGGATTTTGAGATTTGTGGTATTAATTGTACTTTAAGTAATAGAAATTTAATTATTTTAACTGTCTATAGATCTCCTGATGGAGATGTTCAACAATTTTTTAAACAAATTTTAAATACTTTAGAGTTTTTATACAAACCCAATGTTAATATTGTTCTGGCGGGTGATTTCAATATTGATGCTAGTCTTAATTCTGCAAATAGAACTGTGTATGATTCTCTTTTGTCATTATTGCAGAGCTTTGATTTGCATCAGGTGGTAGAGTGGCCTACCCGTGTGACGGATAACTCTTCCACTATCATTGATCATATATATACGAACTTTGGTGAATCTACAGTATGTGTTGTAGATAATAATATGTCAGATCATCGTGTTGTTCTTTTTGAATCATCTAGTCTACGGGACGAGTACAGTAAGCGTATCTCACAGTATAAGCGCAATTTTGGTGCAACCAGCACAGCATCCTTTGTGGAATCTTTGTCAATAGAGGATTGGTCATTTATCTATTCAGTACCTGATATAAATAATGCATACGAATTTTTCATAAATAAATTAATGTTAAATTTTAATAAATACTTTCCTAAAAAAAAATATAGTTTTTCTCTGGATAACAATAGTTGTAAATGGGTTACCGATGATGTAAAATTGTCTAGTAATAGACTGAAAGATTTATACATTTTGAAAACTAATTTTCCACAGCTCAATCAATTCTACATGCAAGCTAAAATCCGCCATAATAAATTAATAAAAAATGCAAAACGGTCTTATTATCAGAATCGCATATTCAGTTCAAGTAATATAGCAGGTGAGGCCTGGAAGGTTATCTCTGAGTTGTCGACGGGTGTGCCTGAACATAAGAACATAAGTCTTTTAGAAAATAAAATATTAGTTGAGAATCCTCATTTAGTGGCTGAAGTGTTTAATGATTATTTTATTAATGAGCCTAAAAATATAATTAATAGAATCACAAAGAAACAAGGAAAGGTCTTGTATCCGACATATAATAGTTATTCTATATTTCTAATTCCATTTTCAGAGGATGAATTATTGAATCTTCTAACGCTTAAACTGAAAAATAAGCGATCAGCTGGATATGATGAAGTGCCAATGTTTATTATGAAAAAGGCATTACCGGTGATAATCCAGCCGTTAACGTATCTAATTAATTTATCTTTTAGCACTGGTGTATTTCCAGAAAGATTAAAATTGGGTAAAGTAGTTCCCATTTTTAAGAAAAACGATCCCCAATTTGTTCAAAATTATAGGCCAATAACCATAACGTCATGTTTCTCTAAATCCTTTGAGTATGCGTTCTTGCATAGACTGTTACCCTTTGTCAATAAGCAAACTTTATTTTCCCCTAGTCAGCATGGATTTATCTGTGGTAAATCTACAAATACCGCTATCTTGTCACTTTTGGAAACTATCATTGATTGTGTTGAATCTGGCGAGGGTCCCGTTGGTATCTTTTGTGATATTAGTCGGGCGTTCGACTGTGTTCAGCATAATATTTTAATTAACAAGCTATTGGCATATGGTATTAGAGGCGTCGCACTTGATTGGGTGCAATCTTTCTTGAGTAATAGACCTCAGTATGTTTGTGTTAATCATATTGATGATATAAAAAAAGATAATATTGATTCTAATATTTTAATTAATAACATGGGAGTTCCACAGGGATCTGTGCTGGGGCCTATCCTTTTTCTTTTTTATAGTAACGACATTGACTCGGCTTCACCTGTTGCCTCTGTTGTTCGTTATGCTGACGACACAGCGTTTCTGTTTTCATCTCCATGTTCTGAAAATTTAAATATAATGTGTCAGAGCTCCCTGAACGAATTGTTGGCTTGGTTTGAAACTCACTGTCTTTTCTTAAACAGCTCTAAAACAAAGGCCATTAGATTTCATAATAGGCAAAATAACTGCCCGAAAATTGATGTTATTTTAAAAGACTCTATAATTTCTTCTAATTCAAGAAATATAAAGTTTCTGGGTGTTACGATTGATGAAAATTTGAATTGGAAAGAACATTGTTTCAACTTAATTGCTAAATTAAATTCAGTTAGTTATATGTTCAGGAGACTTAAAATGGTACTTACCAGCCATCAGTTAATTAGTTTATATTATGCACAGGTGGAGTCGAGATTGAGATATGGAATTTTATTTTGGGGTACGTCCACTTTGTCAAGTGATGTTTTTGTTGTTCAGAAGCGTATTCTGAGGTTGATTGCAAATATACATTTCCTGGATTCATGTAGAGATGTTTTTAAAAAATATAAAATTTTAACTTTGTGCAGTCTTTTTATTGTTGAGTCTGCTGTTTATGTTTTCATGAATAAGCAGAAGTTCTCTTTAAATTCTGAAATCCACCATTACAACACAAGGAATTGCAATAAATTCCGTTTACCCTTTTGTAAATATAACATTTCTCGCAAATCGCCGAATTGTCTGGCTATTAAAATTTACAATCATTTACCTTCTGAAATAACAGACTCACTTACACAGGGTGTTTTTAAGAGCAAATTAAAGAAGTTTTTATTGGAACGGTCTTTGTATGGTCTAGATTAGTTCTTTGCTGTAGATTACACCGGTACTGACAAATGACTAACATTTTTTTTTCTTGGTTGTAATATGTTAGTTTGTTCTTATTTATGTTCTATGTTTTTTTTTATATATGACTATTCCTATATATATATATGTATGTATATCTCCTGGAAAAATAAATGAATTTTGAATTTTTGAATTTTGAATACGTGGGCTCCTCGAAGCTCGCCTCTACATCTGTAAAGTATTTACAGCGGTGGTCATGGTTACCTTCGCGCAGCACTGAAAGTTGGAGTGGGAGTAATGCCTATTTACTATGCAGTTTAGGCTCCATTTAGTCCGACCGTAACCAAATAATAGCAATTCACCGTTTTTTTTTTCTTAATAAATGTACCTATTGTTCAAATGTGTTATAAAATAGTGTTACTTACATATTGTTTCTTGTATGTTTTTTAAAAGATTGTAAAAGTTTAAATATATTATAGCACTTGCAATGCTTCCGTTGAAAAATCAATGGTGCGAGTAATATCAAACTTTAATGAAAAAGTAAATGAACAGTTTATTTCGGACAAAAGCCGAAGAATGGGCTTTCACCATAAAAAATAAACCCATATTTGAATAGTACTTCAAATAAAACTACCCAATTGTATTTCATTTTTTTTTCAATTCTTTGTACCTAAATTTTTCTGCCCTCCCTGGTATGGAAGTCAAGTGCCGCCACTGGTAATATTAACCATTTCCACGGTTTTTTGCTATATTCAAGGTTATATGACGAATAATTTTTTTTTCTAAAAATCAATTACACCACTGAAAATCTTTCGATTTAAAAAAAATTTAATTTTTTGCCAAGATATCGTTAATTGAAAATTACTACTTCATGACCAAATTAAGAAATTTTGTAGGAAGCAGACCTAACGTATTTTTATGTTTATTGGCTTGCTGAATTCGAATCTAATTTCAATATT